ATGACCAATCAAAGCTAACCCAATGGTCAATTGAAACTAACCCAATGGCCAATCAAAACTAGCCCTATGACCAATCAAAGCTAGCCCAATGGCCAACCAAAAGCCCAATGACCGATTAAAACTAGCCAAACGGCCAACAAAATCTAGCCCAATAACCAATTAAAACTAGCACAATGGCCAATCAAAGCTAGCCCAATGGCCAATTAAAACTAACCCAATAGCCAACCAAAACTAGCCCAATGACCAATTAAAACTAGCCCAGTGACCAATTAAAACTAGCCAAATGTTCAACAAAGTCTAGCCTAATAACTAATTAAAGCTAGCCCAATGGCCAATTAAAACTAGCCCAATGACCAATAAAAGCTACCCCATTGGCCAATCAAAACTAGCGCATAGCCAATCAAAACTAGCCCATTGGCCAATCAAAATGAGGCCAGTAGCCCATCAAAATGAGCCCAATGGCCAATCAAAATGAGCCCAATGGCCAGTGTCCTGTTTTATCCTACCTGCATCATTTATATCATTGAACATCAATTTGGTTTGCAATATGTAAAACCTTTAACATGGACTTAAAAAACAAGTGTTGAAAAGTAGCCCAATTGCAAGGGAAAACTGCAGACTTGGCAACCCTGACATTCGTGATGCTGGGAAAAGATCTGGACCTGGATCAGTGTTTCCCAACCCTGTTCCTAAAGGCACGCCAACAGGACATATTTTGGATGTCTCCCTTATCTGACCCATTCCTTTCAGGTTTTGGAGCCTCTGCTAAAGTCCTGATGAGTTGATTCAGGCGAGTTTGATTAGGGACAGGTTGAAAACGTGTAATGTTACTGTGCCTTTAGGATCAGGGTTGGGAAACACTGCTCTAGATGATGGAAAAGCAAAATTATTTTTAAGACTTGCCAGATCCGGCAATAGCACTAGCAAACAGTTTGTGCAGGTGGATAATGGATTCTCCAATGGTGTTACTGTGAAAAGTACTGGGGTGCAGCTAGAAGGGCGGTATAAAACATATGCTGGATAAGTTGGCGGTTCATTCTGCTGTGGTGACCCCTGAATAAAGAGACTAAGCTGAAGGAAATGAATGAATCAGTGGCCAACCTTTGGTGGTGTAACTCCACAGCAGTGCGGCTTTTGTATCTAAAATGGGACATCTTACAATCTCATGGCATTTGGGACGGGACCGATGTAGAAATAGACTCCAGAAGACACGAACTCTATAGTTCCTTGTAGGTCCTGACTAACTCAGAAATACGTCTTCCATTGTGTGAAGTAAATGAGGGCGATGGGGATTTTGGGGGCAACCTAGATCTCCTTTATTCAGCTGATGAACTTTTGAAGTGGGAACGTAATGCTTCATTACATTATTAGGTGGCATTTCATTGACAGAAGTGTCCAACATTTCATTGGGAAGTAGTTCATAGTTGGAACACAGATTGATAGTGAGGGGCTATTTCATTTCTCCCCTAAAATATTATGACTTCCATCTGTATGGCTTATCCTTATGCGTCTTTAATTAGGAAGATAAGAATAAAATGAACTGAAGCTTTCATGTGGATGGCTCCGAATGATGTCTCACAGGATCTGTTGTACGTTTAAAATAATATTCGGTACCAGAAATGACAATTCTGTCATCATTTACTTGAGATTCTGAGTTTTTTATTCTCCTCCTGCAAATGATCATGCTGTTCTGCGTGAAATAAAAGCAGTAAGCATCTCTCATTTTAATTTGCACTTCAAATACATCAATGATGTAATGTAAATGTAATGTGTATTTATATAGCGCATTTATTGTGTATAGCCATACACTCAAAGCGCTTCACAATCATGAGGGGGGTCTCTCCACACCACCACCAGTGTGCAGCTCCACTTGGATGATGCGACGGCAGCCACAGGACAACGGCGCCAGTGCGCTCACCACACACCAGCTATTGGTGGAGTGAAGAGAGAGTGATAGAGCTAATTCAGTGGAAGGGGATGATTGGGAGGCCATGATCATAAGGGCCGATAGAGGGACTTTGGCCAGGACACCAGGGTTACACCCCTATACTCTTTCACAAGAAGTGCCATGGGATTTTTAATGACCACAGAGAGTCAGGACCTCGGTTTAACGTCTCATCCGAAAGACGGCGCCCACTGACAGTATAGTGTCCCCTTCACTATACTGGGGCATTAGGACTCACACAGACCACAGGTTGAGCGCCCCCTGCTGGCCTCACTAACACTACTTCCAACAGCAACCTAGTGTTCCCTAGTGATCTCCTATCCAGGTACTGACCAGGCTCAGCCCTGCTTAGCTTCAGTGAGTAACCGGTCTTGGGCTGCAGGGTGAAATGGCTGTGGCATGATGAAAAAACATCCATTTATTTCTTAAAAAAAGGAACATTCCTGTATTTGCATACCGCTTTACATGATCAGCGATTCATTTTCATAATCAAAACAGTTGATCAGGGGCGCAACTACACATTTACTGAGGGGTATGCGGGTTCAAATTTTGTGTGATCCCTCTTATTTTGGCAAACTAATAATTAAATTAATGAATTAATAACAAATGAAGACAAATTTTCAGATTAACCTTATAACTTTTGACATTATGTATGATTTGACAGTTTATTTTGATAAAAATAAAAACAAATCAAAACAGTTACATCTACATGAACACTTTAGGCTGTGTGACTGCATGTTATTGTGTTAAATGATTTTGAATTAAACAATAACAATGTTATATTTGTATAAAATGCAAAATAATGTTTTTTATCAAAACATATTTATTTATTTTTATTATTTAAAACTTTTAATAAGGATAATTTTAAAAATAGTTTTGGCACAATGGCGCCCCCCTCCCCCCCCATGTGTGGCGCCCCTATGCGCCGCATATACTGCATACCCCCTTTTTGCACCACTGCAGTTGATTAATAATCACTAATCACCTCATTAAATGACCATATCTGGAAAGTAACTTGATTGCTCAATATGTAATTGAATTACTTGACTTAACACTTAAAATCTATATACATTTTAATGCAGGGCGACACAGTTGCCTCACAGCAAGATGGTCACTGGTACTGGATTTCTGTGTGGGGTTTGCATGTTCTCCCCGTGTTGGTGTGGGTTTCCTCCGGGTGCTCCGGTTTCCCCCACAGTCCAGACACATGCGCTATAGGGGAATTGATGAACTAAACTGGCTGTCGTGTATGAGTGTGTGTCTGAATGAGTGGCTATGGGTGTTTCCCAGTACTGGGTTGTGGCTGGAAGGAACATAACATATGCTGGAATAGTTGGTGGTTCATTCCGCTGTGACGAACTCTGGTAATTAAAAGGAAGTAAGCCGAAAATGGATGAATGAATAAATTTCAATGCAAATTAAACTTTTTTAATTATTTATAATTGTGCCGAGCAGAACTATCTAGCTTTATTAAAAATGTATCACTTAAAGAATAATAAATATTGTCCTGTAAGTATTAAAAAAAAAAATCTGCATATTTCTTGCGTACTGTTAAACATTCAGAGTAATTCAGAGACACAAATCAATTAAATCAACTTAAGAAATCTTAGTGGATTTATCATAAATCAATTGTTGTCCTAAACAAATCTCAGGAATTGTTGTTTCAGCTCTTATTAAATTAGTTTGAACAAAGAGCAAAAGCCTTTTTGAGAGCATATGCTGACATTCATTTCTGATTAAACGAATTGCTTCTTATCCTCAATGTCATATGCACTCACCGGCCACTTTATTAGGTACACCTGTCCAACTGCTCGCTAACGCAAATTTCTAATCAGCAACTCAATGCATTTAGGCATGTAGACATGGCCAAGACGATATGCTGCAGTTCAAAGCGAGCATCAGGATGGGGAAGAAAGGAGATTTAGGTGACTTTGAACGTGGCATGGTTGTTGCTGCCAGACGGGCTGCTCTGAGTATTTCAGAAACTGCTGATCTACTGGGATGCACAACCATCTCTAGGGTTTACAGAGAATGGTCTGAAAAAGTGAGCGGTAGTTATGGGTGCGCAAATGCTTTGTTAAGGCCAGAGGAGAATGGCCAGACTGGTTCCAGCTGAAAGAAAGGCAGGAGTAACTCAAATAATTAAAACTGTTGAATAAAATTAAATTCATATTTCGTCACTTTGCTTTGCTTAAATTATTTACAGTATCAAATAACCTAACAATGAAAAGCAATCCCTTACTTTGCGTTTTCTGTGCAAAAGAAATCTGTAAACTTATTACTTTGTAACCTATTATGTTTATAATATGCAGGAGATGTAAAGTAATGTATAATAGAATGTTTAATATACCATAAAGGGCACCTATTATGCAAAAATCACTTTTATTCGGGGTTTAAACACAGTTGTGTGGCATCAGTGTATGAATATAACGAGCTTCTAATGATACATACGTATTAATTTAACTTTTTTTTTTATCAGACTTGATTTAAACAGTCTGCAGAAACACTTGGATTGACATTCTCCCTTTCTACATGTCATCAGAGGGGAAAGCTCCGCCCACTAATGAACACCTCTGCCTAATTAGCATATGACGTCAGTCTTGTTTTTGAATCTTCCACTATGCTGACACATATGCATTTGTAGCTCCGCCCTCTTCTGGAAAAAAGCATCTCATTTAAATTTAAAGTGACAGTCACCAAAACACCACAACTAGGATCAAAGCCTGAAAGTGTCAGTTTCAGAGAGTTATAAACCACTATCTGTGTGCTATTTTGAGTTGAATCTTCACATGTCTTCTAAAAAGGGGCATAATAGGTCTCCTTTGACACATTATAGCCTACATAAAGCAGTTGAAAGATAGAATATCAATTTTGTAGGGCTATTTGATGACAAAATAAATAACATTTGTCCATTTGTGTTTCATGAAAGAAAGAAAAAAGTCTTTGTAACAACATGAGGATGAGTAAATGATGACAGGATTTCTGTTTTTTTGGGTGAGCTATTCCTTTAATACTGTAATAGCCTGATTTATATTCTCTCTCTCTCTCCACTTAGGTCTGATTCGATTACAGGAGCTCATCAAGGCTCCGTCTCGTTACAACATCCGATTAAAAATCCGGCAGCTACCAGCAGACACAAAAGATGCCAAGCCGCTTCTTAAAGAAATGAAACGAGGGAAAGAGTTTCATGTGATCTTTGACTGCGGGCATGAGATGGCGGCGGGCATCCTGAAACAGGTGAGTCACGAGATTATCTGATTTGTACAGAACAGTTTAAAATACGAACTCAATGTAATGCAAATATGAAGGCAAACAAACAGCGGTTTATCATGAGCATTTTATCGAGAATTATTTACACAGTTGGCTATAAGAAGGAACAGAAATGCTATCTGACTAACCTCTAGCAGCAAAATGTGTCTGGAAAAATATTCAAAGGCTTTTATTGTCATAAACGGCGTAGACGTGAATGCGTCTGAGTGTTCTGATTGGATAAAGTAGACGTCTCATTTCAGCAAGTTCTAGATGTTAACGCACTCTTTCCGGCAACCTTCCTTCTGTGTTCACACAGCGCAGCATTCCGGCAAATTACCGGTAATCTTACATGGTCTCTATCTGGAAAATTGCTGGAATGAATTTACCGGTGTTTTCAAAAAGGGCCTGTTCACACATACAGACCTTTCCGGAAAATTGCTGGTAATTTTCAGGGAAGGTCTGTATGTGTGAAAGGGGCTAATGTTTTCTATTGTTCACCAGTAAGAAGTCGTTTCTAATCAATTCGAGGTGTTGTTTAGGACAAAAACTCCTTTTAATATGAAAAATATTCCCTTTGGTACCCTTTTATGGCCGTTTCCACTGTCAAAATGCGTACCGAACCAAACCGTACTGTACCACTTTTTCGGCACCCTTTCGAAAGGGTCCCAAACACAAGAAAGGGTACCAAAAGTCGGAGCTAGACTCGCAGCTGAACGCTATTGGTTTACAGAGATACGTTATTCGCTTACGCAACAAGCCAGAATGTAAACAAAGGACCCGCCATGTTTGAAATACACAGTGAGAGATTACAGCGGAAATATATATACATATATCATCGTCCTGATGAACAGGCACACAGCCACGGAGTAGAGCAGAATCTACCCAGTGCCTCGTAGTTTTTTTTTTACGAGCCAGTCTGACGCGCGAGCGGTTTCGCTTTCTTCCTTGCGCTCGTCGCGCATCTATATCTGAAATAACAAACTTCTTGAGCTGATTATAATAACGTGCGCTTGATTATTGACGTGCTTTGGAAACCCGATCTCGTGAGAAGCTGACAAACCCGAGAGTGACACATTCAGAAAGAAATGGACAAGCGCGAGAGTGGAGCGGTCAAAAAGCTGGGAAAAAAGGAGCACGTTATTTCTTCAGCAAACGTGAACAAACTGCCTTGTTTTAATTATTATCATCACCTTTTGGACTAATATGAACTGGGAATGATGGAATGACTCTCTAACAGAGGCTTCATGTGCTGCTGAAGATTACAGACACAGATGAGAGGTTTGCGCTGACTGTAGGCTATACTTTGTGTTGTTTTGAACCTAATTAAGGACGGAATGTCTGATGTATGTTGTTTTTCTGTAGTTGGTAACATATCGGAGACTGTAAGGGTCTGTATGTGTTCATATATGTTCATTTATTTATTTATTTAATATAATTACAGACGTTACAGTAGCCTATTTCACACTGTCATTGATCTGCAGTTATAATCAACTTCTGTTCATAGAAAAGTTGGTAATAAACATTTATAAACAAGTGTTTATGTGTGTAAAGCATCTGTTTTGTGAGAAGTGCTTTTCATATCATATGCGAGCGACCTGTGCAGCTTTACTGTAGACATTTTCTCTAGCGAGCATGATGTCGACTGAAACTTTCTGTCTTACACCACGCCCACCAAAAGGGTACCCTTGGTAGTGGAAACGCAAGCCTGATAAAGGTGACCCGTACCGACCCGAACCGTACCGTACTGTACCAGTCAGTGGATACGAGCCATTACATACTGCACCTTTTAAATGTTTAACTTTTTGTTATATTTGCTAAAATCATTCAAGTGAATTTTTTTGTCCTCAGTAATGTACACACAACACGCAATTTTGACAGAAAATAAAAACACAATTGTTGAAATTTTTGCAGATTTATTAAAATCGAAATACTAAAATATCTGAAGCCTATGAGAATCTACCCTGCCTTAAAGAGCTCAAGCATTTAAAGTCACAGAAATGGCTCAACACTATTGCATTTAGCTATATGAATAGCAAAGAATATGCAGATCTCCTTGTGTTGTTTTGCATTTTTTTAATTGACTTGTAAAGAATTAGACCCTGGTTTTCCAGTTTCTAAGATGTTCCCTGTTTGTACGCTAAGATGCAGCACTTATAGCAGGGGTTCCCAAACTTTTCAGCCCGCGACCCCCAAAATAACAATGCCAGTGACTCGCGACCCCCAAAATCCTCTGAGGTGGTTATAAATACAGAAACCTTGCATGCAATGACGCAGACACACCAATTAAATTTGTGTCAGTGCTTTAAATGTGCCAGAAAGTATAACCTGATGTTATAAAATCAAAATGCCTTTGACGCTATTGCTGCATTTAATATAATGTAATTACCCCAGGGGTCGCAATCCAATAGAATTAGTAACTATATGCTACTATAGTAACTATATAGTATATAGTAACTATAAACGACTATTTTTATTTTCAGTATAGTTATGGATAAAATATGTTAATTCTTATGGTTTAATAAAAATAAATAGATTTTTGGAAATCACCAGGCGACCCCCCCCTTTATTGCCCCGCGACCCCCCGGGGGGTCCTGACCCCCACTTTGAGAACCACTGACTTATAGGATTGGCTCTTTTGAATGCTTGAAATGAGAAAAAGTGCATGCATAGTTTCTGAGCTGTTAATCTATTGTCTTTTTGGATCTGGTTGTGAGATTGATTAGTAAACAATCAGTGAAGTGTACAGGTTTCATTGATTAGCCATCAGCCAGTCAAGCTTACATGCTCCGCTAGTCAGTATGTGTGCATGTAATTAGTCGATGGTATAATGCTCATGTTGTGTGTGTGTGTGTGTGTGTGTGAGAGAGAAAGTATGTGAAACAACTTTAATCTAAACAAACTAGTATCTTATAAACATCACCAGAAACAACTTACAAATTGATGGAATAATACATTTGCCTCATATTCGAAATAAAGTCCTGCATACTTTCTCACGTTGCAGAAATCCGAAGAGAAAACTGATATTTGAGCATGTGGCTTAACTGCAAGAATATTCCCCCAATTACAGGAATAATCAAATATTAAAGTGGGTATTATTCAAGCCGAAATTGACTTACAGACCTCCTTAATCAGTTTTCAGACCAGTGGAGTGATAATGAAGATACTCATTATTAGTGGCAGTGGATATATGCTTCCATAATGGGCAGCTCTCAAGAGGCTTTGTCTGATATATCCACATTTAAAACTTTCGACTTTTGTGAAGCCGTCCACACTTTTGAACTTCTGCAAAAATCCGCTCGGGCTCCAGAGCCATTATTTCCCGACCATATGCTTCACGCAAGACTGAATTTAATAATTAATTTCACTTTAGGGCTGATGATGGCATTGATATAACTGGGTCTGGCGGTGATATAATATTTCATACATCTGAAGCTCTCTCAAATTCACTTTAGTTCAACAAAAGGAGTGAGTGTTCTATAATTAGATCCTAGCGTAATGGTATTTGTTTTATTAAAAGCATGTAATGATGGGCTGAGACAATTGTGCTAGCTGCCAGTCAGTTTATAGACCAAATATTAGACGTAGGATTTGCTGCAAGACTTGTGTGTGTATAAACATGTCCTTTCACATTAAATGAGGAACAGCATTATTTCATGGACTGCGGGTTTGCTGTCAGGTCCAATATGAGTTTTAGCTGCTCCGTCCTTAATATAACAACCTCCCTACAATGTCAACATTACATAATTTACAAAAAATTCTGTACAGTCAATTAAATCCAGTAATAATAATAATAATAATAATAATAATAATAATAATAATTATAATAACAATTATTATTATTACTATTATTATTATTATTATTATTATTATTATTATTGATTATTATTATTATTATTATTATTATTATTATTATTATTATTGTTATTGTTATTACTAATATAATTATTGATTATAATAATAATTAATATTATTTTTATTGTTATTGTTATGGTTATTATTAATATAATTATTGATTATAATAATAATTATTATTATTGTTATTGTTATTGTTATTATTAATATAATTATTGATAATAATAATAATAATAATAATAATAATAATAATAATAATAATAATAATAATATTTATTATTATTATTATTATTATTATTATTATTATTATTATTATTGTTATTAATATTAATATTATTATTAGTGATTATTGATTATTATTGTTATTATTATTATTAATAATAATAATATTATTAGTGATTCATTATTATTATTATTATTATTATTATTATTATTATTATTATTATTATTAGTGATTATTGATAATTATTATTATTATTGTTGTTATTATTAATATAATTATTGATTATTATGATTAATATTATTATTATTAATTATTATTATTATTATTGATTATTATGATGATTATTATTATTATTAATATTATTATTATTATTAGTAGTAGTAGTAGTAGTAGTAGTAGTAGTAGTAGTAATTAATAACAATTTAATTATTTTTAACCCAACAGTTAATCAAAGTGCTTTAAAACAGGAATAAAAGAAACAACAATATCAAAAATGATTCAAGAGTTCACACTGATATCTGATTATGTGATGAATGCTTAAAATTCTGTCCTAGAAGAGAGCCCTGAGCTCATAAGATCCTCGAGCCTGGGGCTCCCTCCCGTTTGCAAGGCGAGAGGGGAGTTTGAGCTCAGGTAGATGTATTAGTTAATTAACTTAAGCTGCATGTTTTTGGACGGTGGGAGGAAACAGGGGAACCCGGGGTAAACCCACGTGAGCACGGGGAGAACATGTTAACTCCACGTAAAAACGTCTGCTGGCTTAGTAAGGACTAGAACCAGTGACGATCTTGCTGTGAGGCAACAGTGCTAACCACTGGGCCGCCGTGACACCCATCTAGTAAAGAAGGAGGACTAGGGTTGGAAGGGGGGATTCTTTAAAACGAAGTTGGCTGTCATGTGGAACTCAAGC